ATCATTATCATTGTAAACAATATCATTGTCATTGTAAATAATATCATAATAATAATAATAAACCCGGGTATATAAATACATTGTAATACATTATAATAATACAACTCGAGTGTATACTGTTTCATAATGATGTATTCATGTTTTTATATACCCTGAGATTAATTGACCGATGTTCAAAATTTTGATTGATTTTTTATCAATCATTCCACTTCTGTTTTAATTGATTTGATGATTTTTTTTCTCGTCTGACATGACACACATCTATATCATGTCATCGTCGACGAAAAAAAATTTTCATGTTTCATATATATAGGGTGTTGTCTTTCTCCTTCACATTGCTCGTCTTCAAATAAGAATACAAGACAAGAGAATTTATCAACTCGAGTAACTTAAAAAATAGGTGTGTTTTGTTTTTACAAAATGTGATCTTTATTTTAAGAATGTCTGAAATATATACATGTCTAAATTATATAGAATAAGATAGCGTTTGTCTCTCTACTGAACAATATATTTTTTATTGGATGTCTTCATTATCTTCAATATATATGTATTTGAGAAATTTCTGAGAAATTTTTGCGTAAACTTTTTTCACGTATAGTTTTTCGACTTTTCTTTAAAGAAATGTTAGTTGTGCAAAAATTGAAATTTCTACACATTTAAGATTGATGAATTTCTTTCATTTCAAGTGATTTTCATCGTTATTGAATTTTATTTTCATTAGAATATAGTGCTTCTCAGGATTTACCTAATTTTCGTCCAAAATGTATCAACTTGTACATAACAAACTATAAATGATGTGTATTCACTTATATTGTCATATTCATCGATATAGTAATGAATATATAAATAGCTATGAATTCATCACAAAATAGTCTCCTGATGATAGAGTATATCATATTTGTACTCTGTAAATTTTCAAGATTTATCGATGAAAACAAAATTCATCATTATAAACATTTTGAACAAACAACTGTAATGTAAAAGTAATATTAGTTTTAGATTTTTATACGAAACTGTATATCAGACAAAGTTTCAGTATAGAGAGGCATTTTTCGTTTAGATATAATGAACGTTATTGTCTTTATATGTTCCATTTTCTTAATTGAATTATAAATGAGTATTTTGACGTTGTAGAAATGAAAGTGGTAACTGTTTTTAGTTACCTGACAAAGTACTCTATGAAGTAATGTCATTTAATTAGAATGAAATGAAGTATTTTCTAGGAGAGACAATAATGATCGCAGTAGAGCATCTAATGAATGTCTTCATGTATTTCTCATTATATTTCTCTAGTATAAAAATTATTCGACAGATAGAACAATTTCATTTTGTTTTCAGTGTAGATATTTAAGTTTCTATAAAAAATTCGATGTTGGTTTTTTATTAGAAAATGATTAAACTATAGTTGCTTGAGAAATTGTATATTTTGTTTTTATTCAGATCTCCCCTCATACAGTTGTTGGCGTATTCTGTATATCGATGAAAGGTGTAGAGTGAGGCGTTACACTAAAAAAAAAGCAAAGAAAACACGCTGAATAACTTATTGGAATATTTTCTCGTTAAGGATAAATTCTTATTCTGGCGAATATTCGTTTTCTATGATTTTCTAAAGATAATTGATATTTTTATCGAGTATTTGTGAGATATAGAGTTTTATTGTAAGTTCATTGAAAAATATCTCAGAATTTTCATAAATAAAATTATGTATAGATTAATTATTTGAGTCTATAAAAGAAATCTCATTAGTAATAATAAATAAATTAATGAATCACATTTTTTTTTCTCATTAGACATATATATATGGTTTTTTGTTATGCTTAAAAGTATAAGTGAATCTATGAGACATAGAAGAGATTTAAAGAAAATTGCAAATCTCTTTCGAGTAAATGATATCGTCCTTATAGTTTTTATGAGAAATTTCTACTAATAAAAAGACTTTTAATAAAAGATTTTTTGTAAAGTTAAACAACGAGTCTTTTGGTAAAAGCCACAAATAGACGAATTCTTTATCAGTATTTCAGTGAATGTTGTTTTAATATTAACCTCTTTATATATCTTATTGAGTCTGACACTACACTGTTGTTCTTCAACATGAATATAGACAATTTATTAGTAACAAAAATATCAGTTTGAATAAAAGATTCTAGTTGTTTTGCTTTTTACTTATGAAATAGGAACAATGTTTGACCTTTTTACTGTTAGAAAAGAATAATTGAGAAAGTTCGTTTACAGGAAAAAATACATTTCGATTAGAGATTTAAAACTTGTAATTTTTGTATAATTATGACCTGATAAATACTGTTGAAAGTTGTGCGTGTAAATTTTTTTTTTGAGAATGAATCGAATGAATCATTTATTGCTTTTGCTCCAAAGCAATCTTTTTACTTTTCTTCTTTATCTATATTTTGTTTTATTTAATATTTAATTGTAATACAGAAGATAACAGAGGGGTGTGAATCTGATGAGCTCTTCTTGCTAGCTCATACCTAAATGTTTTAAGGATTTAGTAGATGCGTTCATTGAATATTAAAAGATTTATCTCATTGAATTGGTTTTCTTTATTAGAATTTTTTTTCTTTTACTTTTCTACTAATATTTTTGTTTATCAATGAGAATTTTGATAAAAATTAATAGACGAATCAATTGGATACATTAAATTTGTATCAATTAATACTATACAGTTTTTACCATTTATATAAGCCGAATCAATAGTAAAAAAAAATAGAGTTGATGATTACGAAGATGATATAAAAATTCAATTATGTATTATAGAAAGTTTTTATGGAAGAATAATTTTAATTTAGACATATATATGTACTGATCTGTCATAAACTTCTCCTTTTGTATAGCTTATATTGTACACATTTTTCTCTGACAAAAATCACACAGCTCATTTAATAATAAAATTCAATACTGTTATTTTTGTTTTTTTTTCTACTGTATAACAATCATATTTTGATTTACGTAATCTAACATATGAACACAAATGATGTTGTTGAACATTGAAATCAAGTTCAACATGCTCTTGAAATGAGTGTTTACGGAGATTATTGATATTGAAGTGAGGAACATATTTATACGTTCGATCTCACTCACTCATTATTCCTAAAAACACTCAACATTTTCATGGATCACATATTAATGTAATAAGTGTAGAATGTTTATGATATAAGTGCTAGAATAATGCATCAAAGATATGAGATTCCTTCGAAACACTTCGAAAAAGACAAATTTCCAAATGATAAATCAATTATAAAAATAGCTAAGAATTCATTCGAAAGGTTTTTGTTCCATAAAAGTCAAAAATAAATATATTGATAACTATTCTTATATGACATTGAAAATAATTCATCATTTTACATCATTGAAAAAACTATTTTTTGTTTCATCGGAATAGTTTCGTTATTGATCTGAATTAGATTTACTCCAATAAAAAATATAGTGATGTGTTGAAACTTTTTCAAATTCATATTACATATGGTTAGTTTCTGAAGAAATACCGATCAATTCCATCTTAATTTTCTACAATGAGAAAATATTTTTCGATTTTATCTTCTAATATTATTTATTGAAACATTTTCGAATAGAAACAATAGGATATTCTAGATTGTTTTTTCTCTGTAATCGATTTAGACACGTTAAGTATACCAAATAGACCACAAAGTAAGACAGAATACAAGTAGTAATGAGTAAATTATGAGCTAAGGTGTAGATTGTTGGTGTCTATGAAAACAAGCTCATCTACACGCACATCTTCATTATTCTGTTGTCTTACTTTTTGGTTTGAAGGAAATTGACATACTAAACTTGCATTATAATCTTTACTGAGTAGAGTTCAAGAACAAATGACAACATCAATGCAATTTTAATCACACAATTTTCAGCACCACTCAAAACTCCTTTACAAATATAACTCTAAAAACTCTATCTAGACGTGATATTCATTCTCTCTGAGTTTTGTTTCATTTTAAGTGCTTCACTTTTTGTTAAACTAGTCGTTACCTTTATTGTCAATAGAAAGCAAAATAAAAAGCAATTCATTACAAAAAAACTTAATAAATAATATCATGCTTTGCTTTCTTTTTATGATATCTAAGAGTTTCTCTTGTTCTCACCTTATATTACCATAAGTGTTTGTATACATAGAAACAGGTCAATAGACATCATTGTTTGAAAATGTATGATGAATTTCTGTATTAGTAGGTTCATTTTTTAGTCAATTAAGAATCTAATATGGTGCGAAGGCGATGAAAGCATAGATAAAATGTTACTATTGATGTTCTTCTACTATTCTTGAGGTGTGGGTGTAAGTGAAGAGAAGATAAACACCCACACCCATATTTAATAGGACTTGAGGAACTATTGATACCCCCTATATAATAGAACTTGTGGACCTATGAATATCCCCATAGGACACTTAAGGAGTCATAGATATCCAGCCTGTGATGCTCCTAAGGGATCCTGAAGATGGTATGTGTAACTTTTCATGGCGATCAGCTCATAGGGCTAAACTATTTGGAAAGGTTCAGTTCGTTGACAAGAACTCTTCAAATAGTTCAGTTTGTGGTAGTGAGCGTTTTGAACAGTTCATCAGTTTTGAACTAGAGCTGAACTTGTTTTAGGTAACAAATATCGAACACAAGTTTTTTCTAACGTTATATTGATTTTATTTAAAATTTCATTTAATATTAATATTTAAATAAATAAAATCTAATTGATCTATTCTACCTCTCGTCGTTTTTTTTCTTCTCTCTTTTATAATTAAGTTTAACCTCAATATTCGAACTCTATTAGCATGAAAAAAAAACACATAAGATATACTTTATGGAAGAGAGAAAAAAACATAAGATTATTTTCTTTCCTGTGGGTATCGTTACCATATAACAAAAGCCCCTTTTCGATTCTCCCTATTATCATTTATCTCTAAACGATAAATAGATATCATGATTTTGGAATTATATCCTATATAATATATCCGATAAACTGATTTTATTTTATTTTCGAGATAAAATGTTGACTATAGAATAAGACTGAATCCTAATCGAAAAATGTCGAGATTGATAGTTGTCTCATCTTTGAAGACCAAAACGAGATTTTACATATATTATATCTTATTAAAATATTTCAATAGAAAATAAATTTTTCAATGAAAATAAAAGATAATTCGATGTAAAATAGAAGGTTTTATGTCAATGTAAATGGTTAATTGTTTAAAATAAGTCTAATGTTATCTCGATAAATAGTTAACTGTTAGAAATAAAATATCTCTATTAGAAAATGATTTGTTTATATTATATTTGAATATTTTATAAAGAATTGATTATTGAAGGGTTCTCTATTCTTTTTCGTCGTTTTGTTATATAATTATAATATTGAAAAAAAAGAGTGCGCATGACATCATTTAAGACAAAGAATTCTCTTATTGAAAGATTAGCAAATCAGACTTATTTATCTGATGATAATCGATCAAATTCCGAACAACGGTCAAGACGATCAAGTCTTGCAGCGTATTTTTGGATGAGATTTTCATTTTTTTAATTTAAATAAAAAGACAACAACTTATTCTATAATAAATTTTTTTTCAATATATATATATTTATTTTAATTAACATTTTAAATAATCGATTTATATAATAAGATGTTTCTCTTGTTTTTGTTATTATAATTGTAATTCTATTGAATATGGTTATATTATAATATTAATAGATTTATTTATATTAGAGATTCAAAAATAAAAAAATATATAAAATTGATATATTCTATTTAAAAATAAAAATAAATCTCATTTATTATCTTTATTTATGTTTGGTTTATTTCGATTTAATAAAATAGTTTTTTAATATTGAAATGAGGGAAAAAAACACTGATAAATTATATTCGAAAGATATAATATATTCAAAGAATTATTTTCAATAGAAATCGGAATAACTCGATCGATTTAACATATATTATACGAATGGAAGATATTTATTGAAATAAATCAAACTCTTAAATAAATAAATGAAATCTTATATTAATATAATAAATCATTTCAATAGTTAGACTAATATTGATAGAAATAAGATTTTATTCAATTTATTTATTTTAATTGAATTGAGTTAACCCTTTGCTAGTGTTTTTTTTTGTTAAAAATTTTTCTATAATTTTATAATGAAATTATTTTATATTGTTATTGTCGAGTTAAGATAATAATTATATATTATTGTTTTTTCATTAAAAAAACTCTTTATTTAGAAATAAAATATCATTTGTTTTGAAGAATATTCAAATTGTTAAAACGAATTTTTCAAATTTAACCAAACATTTTATGTTATTTAAATAGATTTAAAGAATAGTTTTTATATTCGTAGAATTAAAAAAACCGAACTTTCATATTAAATCTTTAGTGTTTATTTTTTCAAAGCTAATTTAAATAGTTAACTATCTCCTTGCATTTGGTCAAAAATTCGTTATTTATTATATAAATCGATTTCTAGATGAATCTATATTGACTATCTTATTATATATAAAGATTGACAACGAAAATTATTTATTATTTTAATAATCTATCCTAGAAACATTATATTGACCTGCACAGTTATGAAACAATTTATTTCTCTCTACTGAACGATCGCTAACAAATGATTAATATTTCATCCGATTTGAACTTGTTTTGTCGAAAATCTGGTTTTAACTGCTAGATAGAAACATTCTATAAGACGAAATAATGATAAAATAGTTCGAATTATCGATTAAAAATTTCTAAGGAAATAAATTTAATCGATCCCTTATAAAAATGTTTTGAAAATAAATTCATTTGAATAGGATACTTATCGATATGGTTAAACAAAGAAATTCGAAAATAAAACATGAAAATATTTTGTTTCTTTATATTTATTAATATAGAAGTGATGATGTACCTGATTAATACAATCGAGTTCGTTATATTCCAGATCCTTGTAAAGTATTGTCTGATCTTTGTAAGTTAAATAAAGATTTTGTAAGTTAAATAAAAGTATTGATAATGATGTATCAAAATCATTGAAAGAATTTCGTTTGAGTGATGTTGCACATTGTCATCGTTCTCCATATAGAACAAATGGTGCTTTATCGATTTTAAATCAAACAATTGATGATTTAATTCAAATATATGATTTTATTGATTCCAAAAAGAAAAGAATGGCTTGAACAATTTTTAAAAATTATTGAACAAGCTAGAGATAAACAAGTATTTATTTATTGATTTATTTTTAATATACGTCAACTATTCGTCAAAGAATGACTAAACTAAGAGATAATTATGAAAAAGCTCAACAAAAATTAGAAACAGCTGATGCCAATTTAAAAAAGTTTCTGTTTTTATTATTTAAAATAAAAAATGTTCTAATTGTTTTGTTAAGGTTTCAAACACAATCTGATCGTTTAACATTAGCAAATTTTGATGAACGTTTACGTGAATTAGAAGATATTCGTTGTGAATATGAACAATCTCGAACATTATCACGCGATATATATGCAACTGAAACATAAAATAGCTAGTGAAGAACATTTAATTACAATTAAACTTTTTTATCAATATTTATATGAAGAAAATCAATTTTATAATAATATATCTCGATATTTATCATCAAAAATGCCTGAAATTGAACAAAGATTAGAAAATGATGATTTAATTCCACTATTTGGTTATGATCTTATAAAACATTGTTCAAAAAGAAAAGATACATTAATTGCTTATCCAATTAAAATATGTATTCATCTATTAGAAAATAGTTTAAATGAAGAAGATCTTTTTTGTATTGCACCATTACAAGGAAAACAAAAAAAAATTGTTGCTGAACTTAATTTACAAACAATTGATAGAAGGACAACATTAAATGAACTTAATTATGATCCACATGTCTCTGCAAGTATACTTAAACAATATTTAAGAGAACTTCCTGATCGTTTACTTACAACTGCACTTTTACCACAATGGAATGAGATTATTTCACTAGGGTCAACACTTTTTTCTCTTTTTCTTATTCAATTATCCTAAATAAATTTATTTTCATTTATTGACCTCTAGCAAGGAACTGCCCCTTATGCACTGTCGATGCCCTCTTTCTGTCCCGTGGAATGCGGCAAGGAGTTAGCTCTGGAGTCTTTATTTATTTACATAAATGAAAACTTGTTTATTTTAATTAACTATTTTGATGAGTTTATGGAACCTTCCTTCATTTTATAAACTCATGTTAATTATATCATGTTTGAGTATAAATTGTTGAGGATTATTTAGAAAACGTAAGAGAGCATCATAATGATTTCCGATGAAATAAATACATAAACTCAATTTGTTCATATCTGATTTGCACCCAATATATTTAAGATGATCACCTGCGGTTCCTTTATCAAATCGATCGATCAATTTTTGTAGACTGATATCGGCTGGAATATAGTGTCCATTTTTTGGATTACTCTCGAATCTGACATATGAATAAATAGGCTGACATAAGGCTACAGAAAGGGCTTGAATTTGAACTTCTCCACCCCATTTTACATCCGTGGCAGTTCTTTTCATCTGTTCTTCAAATGAATAATTCAATGCTTTGCAAATTCTTTAAAATGATCGCTATTATTAATCATTGCCTTGAATGTGCTAGTCTTTCAGAACCAATATTAAGTATTGAAAGGGAATTATATAAACAATTGCCATCTTCAGTCGTGTGGGTTCTTGCGTAGACTGAGTCGAATGTTTGAACAGAATATTCTGTTTTCTGTCTCAGTTTAACAGATTAATTTTTGTTATGTACAGTTATATATGGTGATCTTTCAAGTGACTGATTAATTATTTGAGTTTGACTTAAAATTTGATTTATGATCACAGTATTGTTATTAATATCATGTACAGAAAGAAAGTGATCAAGAATCTTTCTTGAGTTTAAATCAATGCTTTTATGACTTTCGAAAGAAGATTCGTCGTCAATTTTCATCATGGCCGGTTGATAATTAATTTTAAGATCTTCGAGATTAAAAGACATATCTGTACGAATTTGTTTGTTTTCATCAACATGAGATTCAGTCACAATTGGATGTTTTCTTATCCA